TCTTCTTTTCCTGGGGCTTTGAGATATAGTATGAGGTTATTTATTTATTGGCTTTTTTTTTTTTCTTTTAAGGAATGAACTCCTTTCATAGTGTCCCAGAGATTTCGATATGTTGTATCTGAGTTTTCATTTACCTCTAAGAATTTTTTAATTTTCTCCTAGATGTCTTCTGTAACCCATTGTTCATTCAGTAGCATATTGTTCAGTCTCTATGTGATGCAGGGATTTTTCTTCCTTATTTTATCATTGATTTCCAATTTCATTCCAATATGATTGGATAAAATGCATGGTAGTATCTCTACTCTTTTGTATTTGCTAAGATTTGCCCTATGGCATAATAAATGGCTTATTTTTGAGAAGGAGCCATGTGATGCTGAGAAGAAAGTGTATCCACTTGATGTTGGTTGATATATTCTATATATATCAATTAAGTCTACATTATTAATTGTGTTATTGAGTTCTATAGTTTCTTTATTCAAATTTTGTTTGGAAGATCTGTCCAGTGGTGAGAGAGGTGTGTTAAAATCACCCATGATTATCGTATGGTGGTCTATTTGACTCTTGAACTTGAGAGAGTTTGTTTGATGAACATAGCTGCACCACTGTTTGGGGCATATATATTAATGATTGTTATATCTTGTTGGTGTATAGTTCCCTTGAGCAATATGTAGTGTCCTTCTTTATCCCTTTTGATTAACTTTGGCTTGAAGTCTACTTTATCTGATATGAGTATGGACACCCCTGCTTGCTTCCAAAGTCCATGTGAGTGGTATGATTTTCCCCAACCTTTCACTTTCAGTCTGTGTATGTCTTTTCCTATCAAATGAGTCTCCTGCAGGCAGCATATTGTTGGATCTTTTTTTTTAATCCAGTCTACTAGCCTATGTCTTTTGATTGGTGAGTTTAAACCATTAACATTTAGGGTTACTAGTGAGATATGGTTTGCATTTCCAGCCATATTTGTTTATTTTTGTTATTTAACTTAACTTGATTTTCCTCTTTGATTCATTTATCCTTTACTATACTACGGCCCACTGTTGGTTTTCAATGTTATTTTTCATTTCCTCTTCATGAAATGTTTTGCCAAGGATGCTTTCAAGTGCCAGTTTTCTAGCTGCAAATTCTTTTACCTTTCATTGAACAGATTGCTGATTCCTTTGGTTTGGATCTCTATGCCTTCCCCTATCCCAATAACTCTTAAGTTTGGTTTCTTTATGTTATCCCATATTTCTTGGATATTCTGCTCATGGTTTCTTATCAGTCTCCCTGTGCTGTCTATGTTCTTTTCAAGATGATATGCTTTGTCTTTGTTGTCTGATGACCTATCTTCTAAGTGGCCTACTCTGCTGGTGATACTCTCATTTGAGTTTTTAATTTCTTTCATTTCCAGGATTTCTGGGGGGGTTTTGTTGTTGTTGTTGTTGTTTGTTTGTTTGTTTGTATGACCTTTATCTCCCTGTAGAGGTGATCTTTTTCTTCTTGGATTTGTTTATGTAATTCATTGTTAAAGTGATCTTTCATTGTCTGTATTTGTTGTCTGATGTCTTCCTTGAGA